CTCGTGCGCAATGTCCAGGACTACTCAAGCCTCTCATATTCTTAAACCCGAAGCCCAGTGAGCCCTGTAGAAACTAGAAACTCTACAAAATCAATGACGCTGTAGTTATTCCATCCCCATCAACTATCTCCTTCGATTTACAGGTGCAAAGAGTCCTGCCTTCCGGATTTTCAGAATACTCGAGATCCTGTATGCAGTTTATCTGCACTCTCTATAGACCCAATCCTTTTATCTGTTAGGCCAGAATCAGCATCTCCATCAATTAAGCCCCTAAACCCGTAAACCCTAAACTTAGTAGAGACAGCCAGACCCCCCCAGGATGCAGTCTCGCAGCTCGCTAAGCTTCACCTTCAGCTTCTGAGTCGGAAAGCTCACTGGGGCATCTTGCTCCTAATCAGTTTATTACCATTACTTGGGGTTTGGGGGGTGGTTATTTTGACTTTAAGGATGTTAAAGTGAACAAAAATTTGGGTACCCGAAGTAATTCATGGTAAGTTTATATGGGCTTGAGGGTTTAGGGAACCTATTAGGGCCAGTCAAGGCTGAGTTAAGGAAGTTCGAGGGGTGAGTACTATAGGGCAAATCAGCAACTATGTCCCTAAGGCTCATCCGGCTTTGGGGTTTCCTACGACTTCGCCCAGTAGGGCTCTCTAACCAGATGCCCTAAGCGTCCACAACGGAAACCACTGCAATGAGGGCCTCAACAAACCCCAGTTGTAAAAAAACACTGCAACAATGGGATAGAAAGGCACCAAAAGGCTCAAACACCTGCAATTTAAATACAACATGCCAGAAGCGCAGTGTACACCTTAAATCCGCGATCCTTCATTATTCTTTTGAGCTTCTATTGGCGGAATAAACCCCTGCTTAGAAATTATAGTATGTGGCTAGTCCATCAACAACAGTGATTTTCTCAGACCCTCCATGTAGAACCCTTAACTTAAGTCAAAAAGGGACTTAGAAGCCCTTTGAAATATACACACACACAAGCCCGAGTAGGGGAGCAATACTTCAACCCTGAAGCCTACACCCTAAATCTCTAAATCCTAAACCCTCCAAACCCTCAAGGTTCCCCAGTAACCCCTTAAAAAAAGGTAGACTTTTTCCCAATATACAGGTTTTAATGAGGAGATCCCTCAATGTAAAGGGAAAAAGGGTACGACTGGGGTACCTAGCCCTAGAGTAAGTCCTAAGCCTAAACCCAAAACCCTAAACCCTAAACCCTGAACCCTAAACCCTGAACCCTAAACCCTGAACCTAAATCTCTAAACCCTGAACCCTCTAAACCCTACAGTAAGTCCTATGAGCCCCAGAAGATGCTGTCCTGCTCAACGGCCTGAAGGAGCCTCTGTGGGTCCTGGAGATGAGTGGTTGTCAAAATTATGGTCCATTTTGGGTTACCCTAAATAGTAGGTGCTGTTTTATAATAAGGATCCAAAAAGGGACCATCATTTTGACAAGGGTTTCGGGTTTAGGCTATTATAATAGGGACCCAAAAAGGGACCATAGTTTGGACAACCACCCATATGACAGTGCCCCCAAACAAACATGGAACCTGGCAAGGGTATCCTTACCGACGGCCTTTCCATCCTTTCAACAAACCATTTGTAAGGGTTCCATCTTAGCTTGAGGGAGAGTAGGATGTGGGGGACAGAGCTTCATGGAATACATTTTTTTTACGGGTTTAGGGCGGTAGATGACGTTTTAAGGTTTAGGTTGTTGTCTCCACACCTGTTCTGCTGGGAAGTCGAAGCTGTCCCTGAGACCTCAATCAGTTCTCCTGACATCCAAGGTTCGCCACAAACGCCATACATGGGGGTTTCCCAAAATTAGGGGTACCATTTTGGGGTCCCCCTATTTTGGGAAAGTACTACATAACTCGGGGGACTCTTCTGAAAGTCACCAGACGTCTCTGGTCCTGGATGGTGGTCCCAGAGCTTACGGAGCATGGAGTCTTTCCCTCTCCGCCATCTCTGGCCTGCAGCAGAGCAACAGTAACAATAAGGGCAGGGTTTAGGGTTAAACAATACGGATATAGGGGCACTGTTGACAAAGCTACAGTACTCGTAGGAATGCGGAGCACGGCCCTCAAGAAAAACTTGAACATGTCAACCCTACGAAATCTATGCACGTAATTCTCAAAACCAGGGCGCCCCTGTACACACCAGTGATGACACAGATCAGAAGGGCCGCGCCCAATGAATTCCAAAAACGGCTCCTGGGTTCCAGGCGGGATAAACTAAGACTATTCAATATTCTATATTACTACTCTTACTTGTACTACTAGTATTACTGATATTACGATTATGACTATTGTTACGGCCACCATGGTCGGCAGCAGCACTGGTGGTTGTAGGCGCAATTGCAAAACGGTAAGTTGTGGTAGTGTTGGTAGTAAGAATGCTACTGCTCCTGTACTGCTGTTGTACAACTATGTACTCCCAAGCTCCCTGGCACGGACGGCTCTGTGCCTGTGCAAATCCATCCGCCGGCCTGCACGAAGCTGACTCACAATGAGCTTTTAAACCAGAAGCGGATGCAACAAGGTACTTATCATAAATTTGCAGACGCCTTGTGTAGGAGGAGGGTAGAACACACATCCATAGAAACTCCAAAAACGAGAGCTGGCCTATAACTGGTGTCCTTCAATGGCAGCGCCTTCTCGCCATGTAGCCTGATTTCCAAAAAGATGCAGCAGTAAGGGCTTAAAAAAAAGGCTGTAATGAGGAGCACGCAGTAGAATGTGAAGTAGGGCTTAGCATTTAGAGACCGGCGGTTGAGGAAGTGGGATATGCGAAGCTGATGGTCCCTTGGGCTGTGTATAATGACTATACCACGGTTCGTAGGGGTTACAGCAATGATTTATGGTGTAGGGCTTGGGGCTTGATGGAGTATAGCGGGAGGTGCGCTCCGTCAGGCACAGGCATAAACTCTGTCATGGAAATAATCACTGAAATGATGCTTTAGGGCTCATGCTGCAGGCGGGATTATATACGTCCCCCAGACCAGGTTTTGGTTGCAACTGTTTTAAGTGTAACTCCACTTCCAGTTTATTACCATGAATCTCAAAGTGAGCTGTCACATCGATCGAGTTGCGCCCGCGGTGGCGTGAAGAACAAGGGGGACAAAGGCGGCAGTTGAGCTCCAGAGCGGCTCTGGCGCCTCAGAAAAAGACACATCGCGCTGCCGGGTAGGAAAAACATCGGAGGACAACTGCGCATGTGCCAAAATTCCAGTCCTGTCTGAAGTAATGGGGCTACTGTATGAACCGCATCTGCAAGAGTCAGAATTTTGGAAACTTGCAAGTAGGGCCGGAGCGGTAGGACCGCTGCCTGCAGTCAATCGCTCACAGAGTCAGCTCTGGAGTGTTCCTATCTAGCCACATTCTGACTAGCGCAAAGTGGGCACGAGCTTCGTCTCTTTGCTATTCCTTGCAGGGCTGGGGTCTCTCTAGAATATGTGGATGGTCTTTGTCAAATACCCCCATACAGGATCCGAAGTAACTTCCATTCAATCCTTCTGTGAACCCCAAAGTTGTAGAGGTCAAAGAAAGGGTTTGCTAGACTTCTCATTCGGGGGCCGAACCAGTTAGAATAGTGCTTTAGGGCATATTGTATTTTCCCCAAACTGGGGCTACCTTTTTGTGGTTCCCTACAATAAAGATTGTAGTATTGAGGGGTCTGTATTGAAGTCCCCTTATTTGGGAAAGTGCCATTTTTAGCTGTACTTTCTATACTTCTACGAACGATTATCAGGACTATAGTGGAGAATTATACTTCAGTAAAGCCCTAAACCAACCAGAAACCTCATTACCAGTCTCTCCAGTGACCTCCGTCTGTTTCGCCATCGTCTCTGAGAGCTCCGATGTGTCACAGGGCCTCGAAACCAAGTGGGGCCAAAGTTGGGGTTTAGGGTCCCCCTTAGGGTTTAGGGTTTAGGGAGTAGAATGAATATTGGGCTTTATAAGGTTATATAGGGGTTATATAGGGTTCTATAAGGTATATATTGGGGTTATAGTCCTCCTTAAGTAGACAGAATATGGGGGTTATATGGGGATAGTGGAAAAGAAAATGGAAACTACTATTCAGGGTTTAGGGTTATAGTCCTCCTTAAGTAGATAGAATATTAGGCTTTATAGGGGCTATGTAGGGATCATGGAAAAGAAAATGGAAACTGCTGTATTGGAATAGGGTATGTGTTGGGGTTCTAGTCGCCCTTAAGTAGATAGAATATGGGGTATATGGGGATCTTATCATAAATATCCCCGAAGCCAGAGAAGGGTGACTATATGTTTCCAGTGGAATGGCAAAGCATGTCTGAGATATTGCTCTGCTTTAGCAAGGGCTAATCTTAACTTCGCATTAGGGAACTAGACCCACAGTTACAAAATCCCGCCGTCGAAACAAATTGTAGCCTTTGCATCAGAATCAGAAAATATGATTGTTGTGGGAGGTATGGACTGTAATTAGATAGATTTTAAAACAACCATGTTTGACATTATTATTCAGGGGCCCACCAAAAAGGAGATAGATCAATCGAGGGGGGGGAAGGGGGGTCTGATTCATGCGAAGTCAACATTAGGGATGTGAAGACGAGAAGGATCTACTTTTAGCGTCTATTGCATCTCTAATGCTTGGTTATGGACGGGTGCCGGTGACGTACGAGGCCCATGGGCAGCCAATGTGCCCTGCAAGTAGGCTTCTCTAAAGAGATCCCAATTATGCCATTTGAGCTATAATCTAAAGCCCTAGTATCCGGCTTAGTAACCATTTTGTCGATTATATAATCCCCTTAAAGGAGTTAAGACTGCAGCTCATTTGGAGGCCTAAAGCACTCAGAGCCCCTGAAGTCTGATTTTCTTGCCTCCGTCTTGGAGACTCCTTCTTGCTCTCCGCCAGGAGCGCCTGTTCAAAACTCACAGGCAGAATTGCTCTCCACAACACAGATCTTACGCAAGCGTTCCTCTGCATTTGCTTTCTTTTTTCAGAGTGCAGCTCTTTTCAGCTGTACAAGGGCTCTTGCTTGGAGTAGGCTTCTTGGCACCACTGCTGGATCATCTGCGACTCAATCTCCCGCGCAGCCGGTGCACATGGGGGATCCCTCTTGTCTGGGAACATCAGGTCCAGGTGATGCGCCCCCAGGTCCTGAACGAAGGTTTGGGGTTCAAGGCTACGGCACAGGGCCTATCGAGGTTTGATGTTGCATGGGCTTGTAACATTGATTAACTGCCCAAACAGATTTCCAATGATGACCCGGAGTCTAGGACCAGAGCAATCTGCGATCCATCGCTGTTGATGCGTTGAACCATGGGGCCGTCTGGACCGCCTCCTACGGGATACACCCCCATGCCGGACCAAGGGTCCAAGGCACCATTACCTTGGTCAGTAGGCACTGACGGAGTGAGGGTTATGTTAGGACGTGTTATGGAGATTCTAGATGATAGAGACTATTACTACTTAAGGCCCGACTAACAAGAGGCCAGTTGCTCCAAACGATGTTCCGATGCTGAGAGACGTTGCGCCCACCGTAGTAAGCTGTCATCCATCCACTCCAGGGGTCGGATGTGACTGGTGCACCTGAGAAGTTACAAAGACCTGCTCGTGAAACCTTTTGCGTTGCAACATGTCATGTCGCCGGCAACACCACTGGCTGTTCTGAAAAAGCATGCCTCGCGTTAATATCAAAACGGCTCTCTGATTGCAACGGATTCAGCTTGGATCGCCGGTAGATGTCCAAATCACATGCAAACCCAACTGAGCCCTAGATCACGCAGTTCGAGTTAACAATAAACACCTCCCATTATGGCACCACTACATTGGGAGATATAACCCTCTTTTCCTCTTCATGTTCCATGTTCTTTTCCAGTTTTTTTTCCGCTAAGCCTTGTACAATCACGATGTCGCCCTGCATGACCCCCATCAAATCCCCAGGGGCGGGGAAGGGCGGCGGGAAATCTGAATCTTGAGCCATCTAGGACACTATAATTACTATTCTTTGGGCTTCTTTAGTGTGGTGTAAGCATCTAGAACCCAAGTACTGCGATTTCTGTTGTATTGGATTTTTAAAGGAGGTTCCTCCGTAGCTCAAGTTACTCAACTCCCTCTGCCTAGTATCAAACACGCCCACCCAACCCCCCACCCCTCCCTCCCCTCTGCCCGCTAGAAAATGTTATCCATAAGACACTTCATGGATTGGAGGATATATTTGAGGAGACTTTACGTATTGGGGGGCATATTGAACGTGCGGGATGAGGTGGGTGTGTTCAGTATCAGGGAGAGGGCAGTCCAAAACCCTGGAATATATTACGGTGGTCTTATAACCAGCTAACTAGGGGAATGTAATACATTACCCGCCCTGAACCCTAAACCCTAGGCCCTAAACCCTAAACCCTAACCCGGGGGCCCCTCAACGTAGTCTTTCCACCGTCCAACCTCGCAGACCCATAGAGTCGAACTGCTCGGTGCAGCTTGCCTTCACAAGCTCATGCCTTGGAGTTTCCAGACAAAGCGGGGCCACACATAGCCCCAAACATCATCTCATCCTTGTGGTAGGAACACAAAGAAGGGACCCACAATTTTTTTTGGAAACCGAACCCCAAATTCTAAACCGCGCAACCACAGGAAAACAAGCATGGTTTGGCATTTAGGGCTTCAAGCTCAGGGCTTTCCCATAAGTAATCCAAAGCTGCAAGCTGCATGGCAGATGTAACTCAATATCAATTTTTTTGGTGAGGGGCGGAGGGGGGGGGGGGTGCGGTTGTTCAAAAACATAGACGCACCTTTAAAGGGGTTCTATAGGGGGGGTATGCAGGGATATATTGGGTTTTGGGTTTGGGGATTAGATTTTTGGGCTTCCCAAGATTAAGGCTTAATGATTAAGGTTTTTACCAATGGAAACTAACATGGGGAAGACAATGGACAATTAAATGGAAACTGGAATTATATAGTGGTTTATAATGATTAGGGTTTCCCAAAATTAGGGGTAGCTCGTTAGGGGGTCCCCATAATATGCTGGGGTCTATATTGAGCACCCCCCCCATTTATGGAAACAACCATTCCCTGCCAGAGAGGCCGAACTGAGACTTTTCAACGCCCTACAGTTCGAGTGGCCTACGGTGCATATCCAGCATGATCCCAAATAACCCATACCTTGGGAAAAATGGTATTGCGAGATGCTGGAAACCCTGGTCCCTAAACCCTGAACCCTAAGCCCTAAAACGCTAAACCCTAAGCCTGAACTTAAAACGCTGAACCCTAAGCCCTAGACTGTGCCAAGCAACGGTCCCACCATGCTGGCAATGGTGAAATTCCGCGATGACACGCTCGGGGGCCAATATAAGTCTCTGCCCAGGCCTGGCATAAGTTTAGGGTTTGGGGGCTTTGGGGTTTAGGGTTTAGGGTTTGGGGTTTTGGGGTTGGGGGCTTTGGATTTATAGCATTGTGCTTGGCATGCATCATTTCGTGTAGAAAATAGGGGCCCTGATTTGATTCAATCACAATTTATTGAGTAGAAGGAGGAGCAGTAGTAGCAACACTAACAGTGGCAGTATCAGTAGCAAGAAACATTTGTCATTGTGGTAACAATAATCGTATTAGTGGCCTGAATTAGGAACATTGCCAGGTGCAGGGAGAATAGCATTACCACACCGGTTATGCTGCATAAGCTTCTACATTAAGGAAGTCTCGAAAGCGAAGTGGCAATCTTTGAGTTCCGAACTTGTTTGTTGGGGAGAAGGTGTTTGAACGCCGCGACCATTTGAGTTTATAGTCAGAGCCTAGGTATGATGCAATATCATCCGCACCTTCATAGCCCCCGGAGGGAGGGCAGCTCCATCATCCGCAGAAAAGCAACGCTCCCCCAAACCAACATGGAACCCCAAAAAGTGGTCCTAGAAGGACACGGTCCTGTTGAGAGGGGACTAGATGGGACTCCGCGGAGGGTAATGCGGGTAGATAACCTCACAAGTGGACCATGAAGCCCCAGGCCTTGGGCAGAAATCTGGGACAAGTCGTCATTGCACACGATGGTATCCCAAGCAAAAGTCTTCGGCACTTGGCCAGTGAAGTTGCATGGAGTGTCATCTCCAGCACAGCGGGACACAGGGCAAGCGGGACAATCCGCGCAGGGAGGACACTTTGAGCAACTACCAGCCTCATGTCCTTTGCCATACTGTGGGTCATCATGGCCTGCATGTTTGGGCTGCTTCTCTGCCTGTATGATGTTCCAACAGGACTGGCCTCCACTGACATTGTACCAAACACCCGCGGCTTTAGTGACAGCTGTGGCTAGGTCTAGAATTCCGGAGGCTTTCAGCTGTTCCTCTGTCAGATCACCTCCGTTACTCGACCAGTAGGTCCAATCAACGGTAACCTCCAGATCTCCCAGCTTGGCGGTGTAGTTGACGTCCTTGCGTGATCCCGACACGTGAATCCCGAAATCGCGGCTGAGACTTCTGCATGCCTCTCTCATGGGCCATGCTGGGAGTGGCGAGCCTGATGCCACCGCATAGGTAATGTAGGAGGATGGATACGGGTAGTTGCCTTCAGCCAGGAGAAAGAAGGATGCGGATGCCCAGGAGATCAGGCTTTCCTGCCGGCAAGGAGCATACAAGACAAGCCCCTGGCGCTTATCACATGCATTGCCAGCAACCTGCCCAGAATCCGAAAAGGTGCCGGCTGTACAAACATAGCACAACACTAGAACCCTATCATAAGAGACCCCGGGACCACCGCTACAGTGGGCACTTCACATCAGGATCCAAGATCTATTTGCAGTAAGCCTCAAAAGATGTCAACTTACCAGCCGTTGCATCACCCACCAGACCCCTGGGAGGATCTAAAAATTAGATCCCCTATATAGACCCATTATAACCCCTATATACTCCTTGTATTATTTCCCCTAGGGTTCTAGGGGATCTAATTTTTAGATCCTTTTGGGGGTCTGGGCACTGCCCAAACAGGAATGCCACCAATGCGAAGGAACCACCCGCTCAGGGATGCTCCCATCTAAGGGGATAATGGAAAAGAAAATGGAAGCTACTATAATGGGGTTACATAGGGATTATAGGGTATATATTGGGGTTATATAGGGATAATAGAAAATAAAATGGAAACTACTATAGTATATTGGGGTTATATAGGGATAATGGAAAATCATATGGAAGCTACTCT